AGAGAAACAGCCCTTATGCACTATAAGACTGATTGTAGTTCGCACTGATTGCTTGTTGATATTCGGTTTTTGGATAAACTATGGATAGCACAGTTGATAAGTAACTGTTTGACATCAAAAGACGGAAAACTACGCTAATGTGATGAAATCCGTTTGAATCTCGGTGACAACACCTGCAAAATATGTAAAAGTCATCGCTGGTCGTTTATTCAGCGAGTTACAATGCAAAGCATCCAGTATGTTTTATGCTGTCTCATGCTTTAAGATTTAAACTCTGTTTGATAAGGAAGCTAGGTTTATAACCGGAAAAGTTGGGAAATTAACATCCAAATTCTACCAAGAAGGTCAAACGAAATCTCTATCAGAGACAGAACCATTTAACGGTACAAGGATCAAACTCTTATTATCACATTTTCGTGTAACCGATTATTTTTTGCACTCAACGAGAACTAAAAGTGAAAATTCACCTCTTCCTCTGATATTCGTCATAGCCCATTTACACAACACATGCGCAATTCAGACTTCCGCGTTTGTGATAGTAACGCCATCGCCATTAATTCATCGGTTTGTCGTTTGCATGAACTTATGAAAGTTTGAAGTTCAAGTTTACAACCGCTAAACGACATTTCCTTTCAAACTTGGCACTAGAAGTAAATTCTTCATGATCTTTCTACATTTGCTTTTAAATATAGCCAATTTTTTAATATGATGCCATCGAAGTACTATTCAATTCATTGTGGAGGGACAACACTTTGATTAAGAAATATATCACTGTTCAATTTGCAATCGCGGAAGCGTTTACATCGCCATTTGCTTTAGTTTTTGTTACGATTAACGCCTTTATTCATACTCGATAATCTTGCAACCATAACTTATAGACTCCCGAACCACGATGTTGGCTTAGTTTGTTTATATATGATTGCCTGAGAGTATACCAATTTACCGTTAAAGTTTCTAATTTGCAGTCCAGTGTAAATTTTAACTCGCGCACGTTCGTAACTTTCTCAGTTAATATAATAAATGATTAATCGCATGAGAGCTTCAATACAATTCGTGATATTTGAAGATTCTTTCAAATTACACTCGCCGAAAGGCTCACGAAATTTTGAGAGAATTTTCAAACATCACTTTTCTTGTAAATCCTTATTTGCACTCGCATTCATGGTACGCTGGAAAAAACTGTTCTGGATCGACGTTTTATAACAAAAAATTAAAACAAGCAAAGCGATGGAAATAATTTTTTTGGTTGTCTTAGACCTTATTAAATCCCACACATGGAAAATTATTTTTATGTAGATCCACGCTAGGAAGGCTTGCGTTCCAGCGTATCTAATTTGCGGACTGAATCACAAAAGTAAGGAAAATTGCGCAATTTCTAAGATAAAAATTGTTATGGTTTACATCGACATCGTAGTGTTAGACCAGTGTTGTTGTGTGAAGAACATTGATTCATGTTTGTGGATATTTTCTTGAATCGACGCGATGGCACGAGGAAGGAGCGATAATCCATTAAACAGCACTATATGTAATCCTGTGATACATCAGCGGTTTAGAATCAAAGATTCTCGTTGTGATGCTATTTACTGAAGGGCCAGGCCACAAAGCAAACCAAATAAAGTTATTTCTAGCTCTTATGCAAGAAAATCCGAGAAAATCGCAAGCTACTGGTAGATGGGCCCAGAAACAGGTCCGTAAACCTTCCTTAAAGCACAAATAGCAGTGCCTGATATTCTTGGCTGACAACTCCTTAACACAGCAGTATTTTGTGCAATTGTGGCTTGTACGAAGCGTGATAAAGGCAGCCATATTCAAAACAGGCGCAAGACCGA